CTCACAACAGAACACAGCTCAAGTTCAGATCAGAGAGGCTGTTCCTCCCATTCACACCCCTCCAGATCACACCGTCATTACCCGTGTGGGCATTGAAGTCCCCCAGCAGAATAAAAGAGTCTCCAGCTGGTGCACCTTCCAGCACCTCCACCAAAGACTCCATGAAGGCTGGATATTCTGAACTGCCATTTGGCGTATAGGCACAAACAACAGTCAGAGCCCATCCCCCCACCTAAAGGCACAGGGAAGCTACCCTTTCATCTGCTGGAAAAAACTCCAACACACAGGCACCAAGTTGGGAGGCTAAGAGTAGACCCATACTAGCGCGGTGCCTCACACCATGGGCAACTATAGAGTGGAATAAGGTCCAGCCCCTCTCAAGGAGATTGGTTCCAGAGCCCATGCTGTGCATCAAGGTGAGCCCAACTATATCTAGTCGGTATCTCTCAATCTCATGCACAAGCTCAGGCTGCTTCCCCACCAGAGAGGTCACATTCCATGTCCCAAGAGCCAGATTTGGTACGCCAGGGTCAGAGTGCCAAGGTCCCTGCCTTCGACCACTACCCATGGCATTCCTCAGGGTACACTCTGGGGGATACTCCATGAGTATGGGATTGAGGGCCTGTTGTTATGGGCTGTTCGGTCCCTATACAAGCAGTGCAAGAGTTTGGTTCGCATTGCTGGTTATTAGTCAGCCAGCAGGGTGTGCTTGTGTTTTGTGGCGTCAACTTCCGTGTTTCCTGTCCGTCTCAATATTTCTAACACCACAAAACAAAAAAATAAAGTTGTTTGTTTCAAATCACAGATTATTGCCTAAACTTCAATTACACAATAAGAACAAATGCTTTAAAATTCACTTTATGTTTCAGTTTCTTTTTACAAAATCACCTTGGGATCATTTAAGGTACTGCAGTTCTCTTTAACATTCAGTATAATCCAACCATTGTAAAACAGATGTGTAGTGATAAAAAAACATAATATTTTATGATAAAATGAACAGACCAGAGCATGTAGGGAAGGATTGATTCCACTTTCCAGTGTCTAAGCATTCAGTTTCCTCTGAGCCATCCAGCTCATAGTCAGGACCGCAGATGAAGCGTAGTTTGTGTCCTGCATTTATTGCTCCCCTTCTTGGTGGCAGTCCAGCTATGAACAGATGAGGATGTAGCTCCACAATTTCACAAACATCTAAAAGTAAAATTAATACAAATGTTTTATTCAACAAATGGGAGAAACTTGGCTGTATGCAGTCTGGCTGGAATCTCCAGTTAGAAAGCAACAACTTTACACTCCATTTAATTTGCATTTCAGTTATCTTTTAGTGCCAAAATTAGAGGTGAATGATTTAAGCATTGTTGACCAACAAAAGCATCGTGACAGAGTAGGACCGGATCATTGATCCGTCAACAATGTTTAAAACAACAACGTAGAATATAAATACACATAAAATCACCATCAAAGTCATTACTATTTGCTCATGTCTAATCCAACGTAGGGCAGCACAGTGGCGCAACTGGTAGAGCTGCTGCCTCTCAGGGAGAAGGTTGCTGGTTCAAATCCCAGTCCGGGGGGCCTTCCTGGGTGGAGTTTGCATGTTCTCTCCGTGCATGCGTGGGTTTTCTCCAGGTGCACCGGTTTCCTCCCACAGACCAAAACCATGCATGTTAGGCTGATTGATAACTCTAAATTGTCCCTAGGTGTGAGTGAGAGAGTGAATGGTTGTTTGTCTCTATGTGTCCCTGTGATGGACTTGCGACCCAGCCAGGGAGTACACCGCCCCTTGCACAGTGATTGCTGGACATGGGCACCGGTGACCACCATGACCCAAAATGGAAGAAGCGGGTAAAAGATAATGGATGGATGGATGGAAAATCCAAAGTATTTAAAGCCTTAATTTATCATCAGCGAGTCGTTCTTTCCCTTATTTGATCAACTTTTTATCAATTGACAAAAAAAATAAATTGTTGTCTATTTCCCCCATGAAGACATAAATAAATGAAGAATACAAAACAGCACCACTTCTATTTTGTAACTTTCTCTATTCAAAAATAAAGAGTGTGCTGCTCCCACCTATAAAGTGCATGAACAGTTTGGGAACAGCTTTCTGTTTATCTTTCAGACAATTTAACAATAGATTCCCTCACATGTAAGAAGGGAAAACCAAAAACACGGTTTTCTTATTGATATTCCTCTAATAGAAATCATAAAAAACAATTTTAAAAGTAAACAGTGTCTTACCATTATGGGATGAAGAAACTTTAACATTTTCCAAAAGTCCAAGAAACAGGAGGATTCCCCACAGCTTCATGGTCTCTGTTGAAATGCTGTTTTCTGGGAAGAATCTCTGTTTGTCCTAGTTTGAGATCTGATAAAGACCAAATCCAGCCCAGCATGGACTGCCCACAGGGACTTTATACATTCACAAGTACACACCGTGCATGCACACTCAAATAATCAACCAAGTATATTTAATTTCAATATTTAACACACTCAGAATTATATAATTTTTTTGTCTTCTTTCAAATATAATTTTGGCCACACTTGTATGGATATTTGACATTTAGAATTGTTGGTAGACAGCTGTCCCAGCCCTGCTCCATGGACAAATCCAGGAAGTCCTTTGTCCCTCAGGCAATCAGAGTGTTCCATTCCTTCCTGTACAGTAAAAATAGAGCCTTGTAAATCTGTGGCACCCCGGACACTCATGTATGTATATGTATGTATATGTATATGTATATGTATATGTACATATGTATAAACATGTATATGTGTATGTTTACTTGGATGTGTATGCATGTACACATATAAATAGGTTAATCGTGAATGTAATACTCTCTACCACCTTGTGCATGTGCATATTGTCTTTTTCAAAATTAGTATATTTGTGTATTTCCAAATTTGTGTATGTATAGAAGGATCAATCAGAGTTTCATGCTCTCTGTTGTGCTTTCTGAGGAGAATCTCACAGTTTGTCCCAGTTTGAATTCTGATGGGGCAAAAAATAAAAGGTCACACATGGTCCATCCAGAGGGACTTTATTCAGTCACACATTGTGGATTAGGTCACATCACATTACATTAGGTCACAAAGGTGCAGGACTTCAAGTGCTGGAGGTCCATTGTCCAAGAAAATGGGGAGTGCGGTAAAGAGGTGAAAAAGAGAGTCCAGGCAGGATGGAGTGGATGGAAAAAAAGTTTCAGGAGTGATTGGTGACAAAAGGGTATCAGAAAAAAATCAAAGGAAATGTTTATAAGACAGTGGTGAGACCAGCTGTGTTATGTCTGTAGACAGAGACATGGACAAAAAGACAGGAGACAGAACTGGAAGTGGTAGAAATGATGTTGATGAGGAGTGACAAGAATGGATAAGATTAGGAATGAGATCATCAGAGGTACAGCACAGGTGGAACAACTGGGAGATAAAGTTAGAGAGGCCAGACTGAGATGGTTTGGACATGTCCAGAGAAGGGACAGTGGTTTGGACATGTCCAGAGGAGGGACAGTGGGTATATTGGTAGAAGGATGTTAGAAATGCAGCAGCCAGGAAAAAGACAAAGAGAAGAAGACATATGGATGCAGTTAGAGAAGACATGGACGTGTTGGCATGAGGACAGAGGATGCAGAGGACAGAGTGAGATGGAGGAGGACGACTCGCTGTGGTGACCCCTGAAGAGGGAAAAGCCAAAAGAAGAAGAAGACTGTGAATTCACATAAGTTTTATTCTCATAAAATGTAGATTATAACCCTAAAATTCATCAAATGTTTCTGATCTGATTGAAATGTTTTGTTTGTTAGTTTGAGTTTATGTGTGTTTTCTTGTACTCAGTAATCTTTGACTTATAGTTACTGATCAATGCCAAGAATCTATATATTTTCAACTTTATTGCTGAAGTTTTGAAAGGATCTCTGGCTGGTTTGGGACTCAGTGAATGATGAGATTCCTCCCTGTGTTTTGTAGCACTTTCTTGGGTTTTGTTTAAATCTCAGAAAAAGTTTATGCATTGTTAAAGAAATGCTTTTAAACTTAACAGTTTGCAAGTACTGGACTTTGCAGGTATTGAGATCATTGAAATTTTGATTTGCTGCGTCCGTCCATTTTAGTTCATTTTGAGTATTTGTAGCTCTCCCAGTGGTTCTACCACTGCTGCAAATCCCGAAGCCTGCTGAACCAAGAGGTTCAGCCCAGGAACAAATGAAGTGCTGGCACATTTTTGGTGCAGAAGCTTCAGCATCAATCAACAGTCAGGTGGTTTGGACTGGAACTCAGGCCTTTCTTAGAGATAACATGTCCCACTGCACTGGAATACTTGCTGTAATGTAAAAATAAAATATTCTTCCGTAAACTATCGTAAAACTTAACATTTTTACTGAGATGACTCTAAATGATGCAGGTAAGATACTCCTGGTTGATAAAAGTTCCCCAGAACCCCATATCTAAAAGTCTGAGCTATTTATCTATAAACTCTTGCTAAATGAGCTGAATGTAAAACTGACACATTGATTTCTTTACCCGAGTCCTGCTACTTTAACCCAAAACTGCATCCTGCACACAAAATAGATAAAAAAAATAACTTTTTTTTTCACATTATTACATGTTTTTCTTTCCTGTTTCTTTTTACAGTTAATGTTAGGAAAATTATAATTCTGAAGAACATAAATTTATAATTACATAGCTCAAAGTCGTCCAAGACAAATAAATATAATCTCCTCACTGGACAAACTGAATGTGTGGATAATTTAGTCACCTTTTGCTACGTTTGTGATTTAAACATTGAATATTTATTGGTCCAAATACTTTGTAGATGCATAAACATGACAACGTGGTTAAAGGAGTCTCTAGAGCAAAGAGCCTCAACTTCAGAGTTTGCAGCAGCAAAAATAAATGCTTTATAAGACACAGCTTTGAAAAATATAAACTGACAAACTCAAAGATTTTTTTAGACATTTTATTTATCAGCCAATTTCCAATATGCTGATTGCATGAAAATCCTTAAAGTTGCGTAAATGACATCATCTTCAAAATGTTTGTAAAATTAAAACATACACGTATTGGGATAAAACAGGCATGTGTGCCATTTTATATTGTTTATGTAATTATTCTCTGCAAAAACAATATTAGAAACATACTGTAAATTTAAATTCATACACAGTAAATTTAACTGATACTTTTGATGTTTTTGATTTGAAAACAGTGGGCTTATTTTTCAGTGTCACATAAGTCTCCCAGACAAGGAAGATTAATAAAAGAAACTTTTGACAAATGTATTTAACATTTCTGTCACAATTAAGCACATAACCACAATATGTCTTAGTAAAGAGATACTGTACATGGTTTCATTTATGCAGATCTTTAATTTTGTATTTATAAACTGATTGCAGAGAAAACAAATCAGTCATTCAACGTTTGTGTCGGGTAACATTTGATTTACAATTTAAATGTTTTATCATGCTGAGGCACAAGAACAAATGTTTTTTAATCAAATGCACAGAACACATATTGAATCACATAGCTCTTAAATGTGGTTTTCATGGACATGTTAGAGATGTTTATCACATCATCTCAGTAAAAGCCGTCACCCACACCTGGGCAGTTCCATCTCACCATCATTACATCTTCTACGCATTGACCCTGAGCCAACTTGTCTGCCTCTCTTACAAACAAAGGTAAGGTGATCATCATGTGGTGCATATAACTTGTCTTCATCACCACGTGCAAATTTAATGTTGATTTTGTTCATCTTTTCAGTATCCACAGTGCATGGTTCTGTGAGAGAAAAACAAAACATTTTATTTGTTAGTTCCAAAACAACAAAAAACAATGTTGTAAACATGATAATCATGTAAACATGATGTGTTTTGTTCTAAACAACAGTATTGTAATCAGGTACAGAACTAAACACAGAGGCCCTGATCCAGAGAGTGTATAAACCTAAAATATGCAAAGACTATATTCCATTTTTTTAAGATATAGAGTATAAGTAATAATATGTGCTAACAATATACAGTAGTCCCTCGTTTATCAGGATCCGCAACCTGAAGCCCCACTATAAGTGAAAAACTGCGAAGTAGGATTAGTAGTACAAGTAGTAAGTAGTAGTTTATTAATACGTATATATATATATATATATATATATATATATACAGTATTTCTTCGTTTATCGCGGGGGATCCGTAACCTGAAGCCCCGCGATAAGTGAAAAACTATCATCTATCTATCTATCTGTCTGTCCGTCCGTCCGTCCGTCCGTCCGTCCGTCCGTCCGTCCGTCCGTCCGTCCGTCCGTCCGTCCGTCCGTCCGTCCGTCCGTCCGTCTGTCTATCTATCTATCTATCTATCTATCTATCTATCTATCTATCTATCTATCTATCTATCTATCTATCTATCTATCTGTCGTCCTCCAATGCAAGAGTTGGGGGTTCGAATCCACCAGCAGTCACATGCCGAAGTGTCCATGGGCAAGACACTGAACCCCTCATCGCCTCTATCAACATCACAACTCTCTCGATGTGTGTCCCATCGGTGTATGAATGTGATAAAGCACTGATTAGTCTCTTTAGAATGATTTGTTCCATTAGCTTTAAAGAGATCTAGTAGAGTGCTGTATGAATGGGTAAATGAGAACACAGATTTTAGTGTAAAGCGCTTTCAGTATCCAGATCAGATTGAAAGCCGCTATATAAGTACAGTCCATTTGCCATTTACCATATATAGGCATTTTAAACCCTTCCCACACGCTTGTAATATTTTTAAAAATGTTTCTAAATTCTCTAATAATGTATTTTAAATAAAAATTCCATGCTGATTATGCAGTTCATCCATCAGTCAGCCAATTGTGTGTCATGTCCAATCTTATTTTGAAAAACCGCGATAGAGCGAGT